TATGATGTAAGATGTCTGATAGAATGGTGGCAATCTTTACTTGGTGATATATTGGTCATGTTACTACTGATGGATTATTGATTGTAATTTTGAAATTGGCTTTTTTTTTGTGCTGCTTTATTTTCTTTCTTTTAATTGTAATTAACATATTTTTATATTTGTGATTATTTGCTGTAGTTTTTGAACATATTCAGAATTATTTGTTATAACATTTTTCAGTTTTCAAAAAGGGAAAGTTCGGTAAGGGTATGTTGCAAATTGCTCAGATGCTGCAAACTTCTTCTCTCCTTTATTACAGCTCATCATCACCCTGGATGTTTGGATCATAGTAGTCAATACCACACTATAATGGCACTATAGTGGATTATCAGAGTGGAGTTTTCCTGCCACTATGGGATCCAAATAGTGGGGCAGTTTTCAGTAACAGCTATTGTGCATTGCATGCTATTTTATCTTTACTCTCCATTGTAGATTCACTCTCATTATTATCTTCTTATTTTCTTCTCCTAGAAGTGCTTTTGGAGAAATTTATCTAAACAAACCTGTAGTCTAAGGGTGTAACTGTGTGGGTTATTTTGAACGTTTAGGGTGAATGTCGTCAGCTTCTGTTGGATGATTTTTAAAGTTTAGTCTTGAGCTAAACAATGATATTGGTTTTTCCAGACTCGTGATCCACATCTTCTAGATAGTGTTATCTACAGTTATCAGAAGAAAGAGCTTTTTGGAATATCAGAATTATGATTTTAAGAGAGTGATGGGGTTTGTGTGGCTTTGCAGATTGGTGTCAGTTGATTATTTTAACTAAGAGTTTAAGTCTGAATCTTGGGAAATTTTCTTGCAGTAACATGCTGTGGTGTGGTGAAATACCTAGGACAGAGGAAAGGGTGGTTTAATAAGTAGAGGTGTACTTACCTAAATGCTAAATTAAGCAAGGGTTTGGTTCTTGATGGATTTTTGTCATTTAAGTGACTATTAAAATATCATCACATATTCCAAATGCTTGGAAAGTGAGAAAAGTTAAAAGTCAGACTTTTTTAATGTGTGGTTATAACGTGAAAATTGTATTTTAAAAGTTATATTGCGTATGTCTTTAATCTTGAAAGTACCTCTTTTTCCAATTGAATGGTAACAAATAATTTATTGAGAAAACATAAATTACCATATTACTTATTTGCTTTGAGTTTAGGCCAAGTTAATTTTTTTTTGGCCACTCATTTGACTCTTATTATCTTATAACAAGAATTTCACTCACATTTTTTTTGATTTACGTGTTGTTTGAGTGGGATTGTTCAATTCAAACAAAATAGACTCACATATAAAGTGCTTATGTAAGCATCTATTCTGATAATGAAGAAAGAAAAGAAAAATCAGCTTGCTGTAACAATAGTTATATTTTCTCAATTACTAATGCCTATCATGAGTTCATTACCATCACCACTAACAATGTTCTAGTGCTGTTTTTGGCTTGAAAAATTAATGTGAATATGATGATACACCTTTCCTGTTGTGATAATGATGGTTTGCATATATTTTCTTTTTTTGGCAGAGCAATGCAATCCTTGCACGCCGGTTATTAAATGGAGAGTTGGAACCTTCTACAATATTGAATATGACACCCAATGAGTTGAAGGTATGATATCTCCCTCCACTGGTTGGAACTTTGAAGTTGTGTGTTCATATGATGAATTTATTTTGTAGATTTTGTACTGTTAATTTCTGATTTAAACCAGCAGCTTCTTGTGCTTCTTTCGGTCAGTTAATAGATTCAACCTTTGATGGTCTTCAGCATATTCTACCTAGTTAACGCATATTCTTGCCATATGGTGGAACCAATGATTATCTAAAGGGTCTGTATACCTTTGAGTGAAAATTGGGATGAAGTTGGATCATTTGGATCTTGAGGAAGGGAGGGGAGGGGGAGGGGAAGTGGGAGTTGTGAGAGATCAAATGAGGAACATCTAAAAACTCTTACCTTATGTTCTTGAGCAATGTTGTCCACCCTGGATTTGACCTGTTGATTTGTTTTCTTTTGTATTTTCATGGGGCATCCTTGGGTTAAAATTACTATAACGTTGGTTGTGTGCCTGTGCAGGATCAATAGATGATAAATGTTGTACTTGGTGCCTTTTACAATTTATGATCAACAACAAACGCTCTGGTCACCTATGGGCAAGGAATAATGTGCTGATAAGTCCCCTGTTAATTTAATTTGAAGCTGGATATTATAATTATTTTCTTAAGGGTCTGTTTGGTCCAAAGGAGGGGAGGGAAGGGGAAAGACTTTAATGGAGGGAAGGGGAAGGGAGGGGAGAAGTTAGAAATTTTATTTGGTTGAGAGGAGGGGAGATAACTATTTTCTTGTTTGGTTCACAAGGGGAGGAGAGAGATTTTTAAAACCAATTTTTTACTTTTGTATTTTTATAATTTTAAAATTTAAAATATAAGTAAAGATATTTTGGGCAGCATCATGCTAAAAATGTTTTAAAATCCTTCCCCTCTCCTCTAAATCCACCCAATGTTGGAGAGGAGTTAAAATAAGATGAGGAGGGGTTTTGCTTCCCTCTCTCCTAAAAATTGAACCAATCAAGAAAAATTTATAAAAACCCCTCCCTTCCATTCCCCTCGAACCAAACACTTTGTAATAGTCTATATTAACAAGAATGTTCCCAAATAACCCAAACCTCCCTTCGTAATAGTCTATATTAACAAGAATGTTCTCAAACAACATACCATTATAGTAGCTTTTTGTGCTGTAGAAAATTGAGTGATGCTCTCAGCTGGTGGTGAGGTTCATTTTGGAGTTTCTGGATCAGTTTGAAGGTGTATTGATGGGATTATGAGGGAGTGAGTGGCTTCCTGTTTTCTTCCATTAGTGTATTGGAGAAGGTTTGAAGAAGGGCTTCTTTCCCAAGGACTAAATTGATTATGAGAAATGTCATCTTTTGCTATCTCATCCGTTCTTTTAAATAACTAACGTATCTTTGGTTTTTATTTAATTGTGCACTGATGGGCATAAGATGCTTTGGTCCACCTTACGTAAAGTTCACTGGACCAACTTTTGGTGTTCATGAAACCATTGGACTTTGAAATTTTGGTCTAGTTATGTTTATTTTGTTTGTGAATACTTTTTTTGTATGTGGATGCTACTTATGAAATAAATTGTTGGTACATTCTAAAATAATTCCAGTTATTTTGGGCCTTTTCTTTTTTAACCGAGACAGCAGATAAACCAGTAGTACTAGTAGAGCTTAATAAAGCAACTATGAATTCCTCTTACTAGTAACTTGAATCATCAATTTTTAAAGCTTCTTTTGAATTGATTAATCTGGTTGCTGATTCTACGGTTTGTTGTGCTTATCTATCAAATATTTAAACTCCAGGAGGGTTTGACTGCTGAGGAAACCTGCAAGAAGGAGCCCGATGAGTCACAGAAGATGCAGGTAAATTTTTATTCCCACCAAAATACTATGTTATCTGTTAAATTGTATGAAGATATCTGTTGACTGTTAGCTTGGAAACAGATGACGGGTGCCCGATGCCGTCGATGCACGGAGTGTAAGGTGGGCTTGAGGGATATTATCCATGCAGGACATGGTGACCGATATCAGGTTTGCACCTTATTTTTTGCTTCCAAAAGCATAATTTGATGCGGTTTTCATAACTTTGTATGATTTGTTCAGCTGGAATGTATTGCCTGTGGTCACTCCTGGTTTGCCTCCCGTGATGAGGTGTCTGAACTGACTATAGAAGCATCAGATTCAAGAAGAAGCGTAGGCACGGCACCATGGGCCACTGCGAAGTTTGAAGATGTTGAGAAGAAGCTGGTAAGTCCCCGCGAATCTGACAAGTCAGCCAATGACATCTTTAAGAAAACAAGTGAAGCATATATGCCAGTTTTGGATGCCCAGAAATCATTTGGCAAGTCTAGGAAAGATGAAAACGGCCAAGCTTCAAAACATGCTGACTAGGATTATTTATTCCGTAGAATGATACTAGATATTTACGGTCGAGTTTTATACGTATTGGGTGTAATGATGTTTCAGGTAGTTACTTTCTATCTTCACTTTAAAAAGAAAACAGTTGCAATTTTTTTTTTCTTTTTTTTTTTATTGGCTAAAAACTAGTTGAATGAATTATTTAGATATATGTATTTTATAAAATTAAATGAATAATTATATTTCACTTTTATCCTCACACCTCGACAACCAACACCACCCCCAACTCCCTTATTACGTTCAGTTATCGTTTTGCATCTTTGAATCGATTTTTTTACCCTTCCAACTAACATTGTGATATATCAGTCACGATGAGTATTTCTGGAAGAGGATCGTTGCAAACGTTAAAAATAGGTTACATGTATAATTTGCCTAATCGTTTGTTGCAAGACTTCAAAATTTAACAATAACACGAAGACGGATTTTTTTTTTTTTTATTTTTAACGAAAAGATGAAATTATAATGGGACAATTGTGAGTCCAAGATTCCGTGAGTTTGATATGGGTCATTGAATTTGGGGTCCTCCCCGCCAATCCAATCACATGCAAATACACTTGCTTGTCTTTGACCACCTCCGGCCCCCATAAAAAAATAAAGGTTTTGTCCTTGTCCTTTTTCATCTTACACAAATTTACGCCTTTACCCCTTCCTTTTGCACCAAAACACTTTAATCTGACTTGGTCAAAACACCTTCAACTCCATTATTTGCTTTGCCCGATACGAAAATAACTGAGGGCGTTTTTTTTGGATAATGGTACAGAGGGGCGTTATTGTCAATAAATTTCACCATACGAACTCGGCAGATCTGATTCTGAATTCGACAAAATCGATTATGGTGTTTAATAGTATCTTACTATTATTATTGCACATACACTCATTTAATTGTAGGATTCCGTTCTTAATAAGTTAATATGTCATATCTGCCTTTCCCGAAGCCATAAGATAATGACATGTTTCAGAAAATCACTCTTTTTTAACCGAAACATAAATTAGGTGAACTCAAAGTGGCACGGTTATTGTTTTAAGACATAATTAAATTCCTCTATTACCCTTCACTTTGTGCACTGAATATTAAAGCCAAAGTATGTCCCTGGGTGGTGTCATTTGTCATCTCACGAGGGCACTCTCGATTCTTTCTCGGGTTGCTCGCTTGCTTTGCTTAGATCACTGGTTTCATGTCGAGTGGGACACAAATAATAAATTATAAAAATAATAAAATAAATACATAAACAAAGACAAAAAAAAAAGAAAAAAAGAAACCAACGTGGTATGATGGTGCTTGAAGAGCATGGCTTTGTTGTAGTAGGGTCATCATGTGCATTAACGTAGCTCGGTGTTGTTTCTCTCTCTTGTTACTCATGTGAGAGAGAGTTCAATGCTTCTCTCTCTTGCAATCTGTTACTGTTTCTAACAAAGCTTTTTGGCAACATTTGCTATGCTTTACTGCTCCTTCTGTAGCGTGGTGATTGAAGTAATTGAACTGAGTTTGCTTTTTGTTTGAGCCTCCATCACTGCCTTTTGTGGATACCAATTTTGAAGTACAAAACAACACAAATGGCCCCGGACTTGACTCTTTAATCAAATGGGTTGGTTTCGTAAGTTATTCTCCTGCACCCTTTATGCTCAAGGTTGGAGATTTATGATTGTACATTGAAGCTGCTTCTTGGGTTCTCCTTTTCTTCGGTTTACTTCTCCAAGATCTACTCTAGTATGCCCTTTTCTTATTTATTTATTTTTTAATTTTTTCCTCTTTCTTTTCATTTCCCCCTGTTATGGTTTGGTATCATAATCATTGTGCACTTTATTATTGTTTTTAATTGAACATTTGTGCAACACTCATCTGTGTCACTTTACTAGCATTTGGGTATTATGGGAATCATATAATGTTCTTTCCAGCTTTTTTTCCCTGTTGCATTTTTTTTGTACCCAACAGATCATAAGGCATTTCTTTTTCGGTGCTTGGAATCGATATTTTTCTACTTTTGTAATATAATTAGAACCAATGATTTTCTAGGGCACTGTTGAGGCGTGGCCTTTACAACAATGGTTGTTGGCAAGGTCACAATTGTCATTGCAAAATAACATGTTTTATGAGCATGCAGACAACTGTCTACAGTGTTTAGTACCATTTCTTAATTGCAATCAACAGTTTGTTTTATGAAATATCATTTCCTGCATCAATTGTTACTTTCATCCCTTCACTTGAAATATTTGGAACTGATCCCTTTGTTGATTATTACAACCAAAGTTTTGATGTAATTTTTATGGACTCCTCAATGTGATGTTATAGCCTTTTGTTTTTCTTCCAACAAGAATTTCCTCAATGGAAGATCTCCCGTGTATTCCGGGTAATTGTAGCCATCAGATTTAAATTTTGTTAGATGAATAAGTACCATGCATCATTAAGTGGAGTTTGGTCTATGAGTGTGTGTTGATATATGTTTTTTTTTCCTTGATGGTATCGCAGGTCTCTGGATTCATCAATGGGACAAGAGTTTGAGCTGGATCCTGATGACAAGTCTTCAGTGGGTCTGAGTCCCAATACTGTTCTTCCATCTCATCAATACTGTGTGAATGTAAAGAAGAGATCTAAAAAAGGAAAACACACTGGGAAAGATGATTTTCTTACTCTCAAGGAGGGCTTTGCTGAGATTAAATTTGCTCGCTTCCGCAGTTCTTCGTGTAAGAGCATTCTCTCTAGACCTCATGGATTGGAAGGTAATATAGAAACCAGACGTTGTTCCATGTATCAGAGTTCAGAGGAAGTGAAAAGTATAAAGAAAATGAGCACCATGGTAGAGGGAAGGAAAAAAATAGAAATTTCAAGGAGGAGTGACACCTCTTTCACGGGTAGCATTGTTGATTCTTTGTGTGGTTCAGATGATGAAGGCTCTGGACTGAGATCTTCAGAGACAGACTCCCCAGATAGCTTCATTGAAATTTGTATAAATTCAGATATTAAAAATAAGAACTCTACCACAGTACAACGGAGAGAGTCTATAAAGTTGAAGTCCAAAAGTGATAAAGTTGCTGATTCTGTAATCAATGGCAATTGTCGTCTTGAAAAGGACACAGTCCACTCACTGCAGAAGTCATTCTCGGCTAAGGCGGAAGTCTCTCGGTTGCCATCTCCATTAGGAAATTATTGCTCATCGAAAACAAGTCCAAAAGTTCAATTCACCCCTAGCAGGAAAAGGCTGGATCATTTTACAAAGTCAAAATCATTGAGAAGTTCAGTGAGTCAGAGACTGGAGAATAATGAGATCAAATCAAATGAGGCAGCAAACATTGCAAGAAATAGGACTTATCAGAAATCATTGCTAAATGACTTATCCAAAAAAGGAAAGCATTCTGACATTATTTCTGAGTTCATCAGCAGAGAAATCCAGTATTCAGGTATAGCTTCTTCACCAGTTCACCTGCATGGCAATCTCAAGTTGGAAAATAAACATGGAGTGCCATTTTTTGAGTTCAAGGTGAAGTGCCCTGAAGATGTGTTTGTGGCCAAGACATGCAGAGCAGGTAATGCTCTCAACTGGGTATATACTTTTCACTCCTTTGATAATAGAAAGAAGAGCAATGCAACTGGTTTGGGATCCCATGATTTTGGTAAAGATTCCTCAATAGTAGCACAAATGCTAGTTTCCTGTAATTTATATTCTGAACTAGAAGGCAGAGTATTTGATAACTCTATGGTGTCAGAATTTGTGTTGTATGATTTTACACACTCAAGGCAGAGTGTTTCGCATGAAAAGAAGTCTTTAAGTGAACCCGATGCTTCTAAAACTCTGAAAGCTTCCCATGTTGGATGGAAGGAAGAAACTTTGGGGCTGGATGAGAACCTGGTGGTCAAAAACAAATTTCAAGATAAACCTCGATCAAGCAATGTTGAATTTGATGATTTAAATTCTTATCCTTCCTTGTCCACTGAATGCTATTCAAACCTTGAAATTGCTGCCATTGTGTTGCAAATTCCGTTTTCTAAGAGGGAAAGTTTGAAGTACAAAAGAGGGGATAGAATAAGTGCTGAAGAATATTCCAACACAAGTGATCTCTCTGCAGTAAAAGATAGAAAGAGTCTTCAATGCGACCAAATCCAGGAACAGGTAAAGGTGGTAATACCATCTGGCAATCATGGTTTGCCAAATGCTGAAAACCAGGGTCCTTCGTCATTACTTGATCGGCTGAGACATGGTGGAGGTTGTGACTGTGGTGGGTGGGACATGGCCTGTCCCCTTATTCTTTTGGCAAATCCTAGTATTCAGTTTGCTGAAGATTGCCCACTTATGGAGGAACATCAACCATTTGAACTTTTTGTTCAGGTATAAGTTGAATTTCACATTAACTGTTTCTTGAGGGGACTTAAATAGATGAAATACTAAGGGGGTGGGGAGAGGGTATATGCAGCATTTACACGATAAGTGGTGAGGTTGTTTCCACAATTTTGATCCATGACCTCTTGTTCCAGTAAATAGAGAGTGCCATTGTTAAAGCATTCAATGAGTAATCTCTTTCCCATGTGTAACTGTACCCCTTTATACAAACATCATTTCTTATCTTTTTGCCATTATCCCCCTCACCATCCATTATCTAAAAAGTGATTTTATCTTGTTATATCTGTTAACTTTTATCCTTATGAAATTTTAAGGTATGAGATGTAGTCATTGTTATTTAGTAACTGAAATCATAACAAATAAAGAATAAAGATAGAATGTGAATATTTTTATGGCCATTTATAACCTAACTTGGTAACTGATTGACTACACCTACCAGATCAGTTACCACAACTCAGTCAGAGACGTAGTATAGTACACTTCCGAATCACAAGGCAAAGGCATCATCCTTATTGTTGCACCAAGACTTGCCCTCTAAATATGAAACACTAGGGTATTTTAATATTGAATTACTTAGGAGGATATGGACAACAAAACTTTGTGCTTTTGCATTCCAGTTCCAAAAGTGGGTTCCACTTTCTTATGGAGCTATTCATCTTGCCAATCAAAAGATGGTTGCATTTCAGATTTCCACCAAACCATGTCATAATGCATCAAGTCTTCTGGCTGAATTTTACAGCCAAAATTATTTTATTGACAATAAATGGCCAAGGAATTTCTTTTATTGATAACATTCCATTCTGAGACATTTAGTCAACCAAATCTTACTTTGAGATTGGTTGCACCTGCTTTCCAAACACGCTGATCAAATCTCATGAACGTGCTCTTCTGCTAATTGTCCTTTTTATTCATGATTTTTAAGTGATTCACTTCATCTTTTCTTTTTCCCACCTAGTGGGATAAGACTTGGCTGTTATATTTCCCAAAAGGTTAGATGCTTTTAAGCAAAAATAGCACAATCAGAGTTGCAGTAGTTGGAAGATCCCTGAAATTATCTTGAAGAATTAAAGCCTTTTCCAGTTATTTGTGTTTAGCAACCATTTGTTATGAAGATATTATTCATATGATTGAACAACGAATTAATTCCATGAGACATGCATCTATATAGGTTTTTGAACAACACTTATTACAGTTTTCTCTGCTTTGTTCAGTGTTACAGTTTTAACCTGCTTAGTTATGAGATTGCCATTGTTGTTTCAAATACGTATCTGATCTTTTGGTGCACAGGGAGCAAAAGGAAGCAGTCCTACCTTCAGCATGAAAAGAATTGAAGAGGGGCATTATGCCGTTGATTTTCATGCACAATTATCCGCGTTACAAGCATTCTCCATCTGTGTTGCCATTTTGCATGGAACTTCTTCCTTCAGCAGCGGAGTGCATGAGAAAAACCAACAGTTATCTCAATGCAGTTCACTGAAAATGCTCATTGAGGAGGATGTAGATTTCTTTTTCAAACCAGTCACAACTGAGAAGAAGACTGGTTGCAAGAATCAGAAAGGAATTCCTCGATCCTATGTGTTGAATCCACCTTTTTCTCCTATTGCACGCGTATAAAGTGTGGACCTGACCATCGCTGTTGTAGTGATTATATGCAAAACACATCTATACTGTGTTTGGTTATGCGTTATTGGCGTGGTTTCTTATGTTTCTAACGTGTTTTCAAACACAAGGCTAATCATCTTATACCAGCTTTAAATTATTGCTGGTTGGAGAAGAATAACATGGTCTTGCAGATGATCTGTGAACAATGGTAACAAGTGTGTAAAGCATCTTAGTGATATGAAGTTTTTGTTGCTAGGTGCAATGGCCTGCTAGCAGAATATGTTAAACACTTTGAGAGAGTGCAATGGGGTTGCTGATATATCTGATAAGGATAGCACATTAGAGGTGTTAGAATCATTCTTTGTAATAAGTTATTTTGTTCCAGTTAAGTAGCATAGAAACCGAAAATTGTTCATATTGTATGGGGTAGCTAGGGGGAGGGGGGAGATACTTTACACCTAGTAGGAGATAGCATAGCAATCCTTTCTTTTTTGTAACTACTGAGACAAGATTCTGAAATTATATAAATGATGGGAAGTGGATTGGAATAATATAAAGAATTTATATGGTCTATGGATCCATTTTTTATTTTAGTTCTAAAGAATGACGCACCATGTCCCCCTTATTTAAGTACAAAAAAATTATTGATTTACTATCGTCACTCATGGCCGGCCCAACAATAAAGCGAGAAAAGTTGATGCTCTATGCCTCCAAAATAATATACGATATATATTAGTATTTATATAAATTTTATTATTAGTTTATTTAGTATAATGATAATTAAAATACTGACAATGGACATAAATGGTAGTAATTTTTGTCTCTTAATTAAATTGTTCAAATTTGAATTTTGACGTATCAGCATTGAATACTTTTTGTCCATATTATAATTATAAAATATATATATATATATATATATATATATTATATAAATAGTTTTAATATTGTTGGAAGAAAGATTGTTTTTATTAAATCTTTAATTTTTCTGTTATTTTTTTAAAATTTATATAATGGTCTCATTAAAATTTTCTATAGGTATAATAATACATTGGACGGATCTCGTATCACTCATGAATTTATTAAAAACTCCATGAAAATGAAGAGAATATTCTGCATAAATTGTAAGTTGGTATCTTTAACTGTCCACACTCCCTTAATTAGAATCCCACATTAATAGTTGGTTGTGTGAGTGAAAAAAAGAACCAAGACAAAAACAAGCAAGTTAACCTAAAGGTTGAGGAAATCCGCTCAAGTGGTTGAGATTGGAGGGGGTAAGGTCCTTGAGTCATCAATGGATGCCATTATAATGACAAATTTTAGCTTGTATCATATAATTTTATTGAAAATTTTAATTGCTAAAATTATTATTATTTATAAAAATTAATAGAATAACTTATGCTAATTATAAATTTTTAATGGGTATGCCATCATAGATAGGCTCCTTTAAAGAAAGCAATTTCTATGGAAGAATACCAAAGTTCCTCACGAGGAAAAAAAACAAGAAATTGAAATAAATTTTTGAAGATCTTCCGTATGACTAGTTTAGATTATAGATTTCAAAGTGGGGTTAACATAATTTTTAAAATATGATGAAATCTTTTAGTAGTTTAAATTTTAGAGGGTGAAGGTGAAAAGTACCTCGGTCTAAATACCTTCATACTCAAAAAATACGCGTAGTAATACTTATATATTTACCTTATTCCAAAGAGCCGAGTGAGAGTTCAAACATTGTCTTATTTTAATCGACCATCCTCTTTGGAATTTGAAAAGGCCAATTTACTCTATTTCATTGTAAATTAGTGGGCCTTTCCACTTAAATAATAATTAAAACAAGTAATATAAAATAAAAATATATAATTACAAAGGTGAATGAGATGAGAAGAGGGTATGAATTAGTAGGAATTAAAAAATAGCATACATTTTTAGAAGCTTAGAACTGAGAAATTAAAAAAAAAAAAAGCAAATAAAAATATAATTGCAGGTTAAACAAATTAATGAACTAATATACGGAACTAATCAGCCAAAAATGATAAGTGCGTTAACATGACGGAAAAAAACCCACTTTACCATTGTTTACATCTTAAAATCCTATCATCCAATCGAAAGAGATGTCATTCAGAGAAAATACTAGTAAAACTAACCTCGTCCACAACTTAGAGAGCGTGATTTTCCCAAGAATTAATTATTCTCAATATATTTATATCATATTTCTTTTTAAAATAATGCCATATATTCTCCTAACTTTTTATAAAATAAATATTAAATGAAAAAAAATCCATACATTTAATATCTTGAAGAAAAAAAAAACAATGCTTTCATTTCATTCTTCATGTGATAAATAGGAAGATTTGTAAGATGTTACAAAAGAATTTAAAATTATTCTTTAAAACTACAGTTTATGAAACTGCTTGTGGCACAATTAAACTTTTCTTCCTCACATTATCTAGTCATCAAGAATGCAAACGATGATGGACATGGGGAAGCTGATGCTGGAACACCATATGATGGACCTGTTAATTCTAAGTTTTTGCCGTCTTCAACATTCCCGTCATTGTCCTAAATGCATATATTAGTCGGGTGATGCTTCCAGAGAAAATGCCCTCTTGAAAAATTCATATGAAGCAAAAAAAAGTGATCCTTGAGACATGTACATAATCAATCTCGGAGTCAACCCCCTGATGACAGACATAGAAAACACATCAAAAGACAAATGTCATCGTGCAATTTGCATTTGAATAGAGATTCCAATACAGAATGTATAGCAGTGGCTCCGACAAATTGTTTTCTTCTTATCTAAATGATAGTGGCAAGGCTCAGAAATAATACCTGTACAGGCCCTTCAAACCTTCACTCTTACTAATTTTGTAAAGGGCATGGAGCACACTATCATATTGATTTTCTGATCCAGGAATCTGCTGTGCACTCACTTTCATCAGAAGAATGAATTAAGAGTAAATGTTATAAATCAACCAAAAGGAAAAAAATGTATTATATTTTTTAAATAACATAGTGAAATTGTATGATTATAATACGATTAAGGATAACAAGATAGACGATATCAAGCATCACACTTTAAAAAGAAAAGTTTCAGAAAACTAGTATCAAGAAAGGTTGCCTTCAACATCTAACTAGATGGTGGCAGCAGATTCTGCTTCAGTAGTATCAATAAGAATTTATACAATCGAAGGACCTGTTCATTACAAACCTGTGTCTGTAATCTAGTCTTGATCACATCAAAAGGAGTGGTGAATAAAGCAGCAGTAGATCCAGCTAATCCTCCGCACACTAACTACAGAAATTTATAAAATCATGTTAGTCACATTCATTGCTGTGCGACAAAAACAAATGATGGTTAAGAACAAGGAACAAACATTAACTCACAGTCTGAAAAGTGTTGGGTTGAGTACTATATGGCATCACTTGCTTCAAGCTTTCATATGTGTAAAACTACAAATGGTCATAGAAGACCAAGTAATATTAACACGGGGGATTTGAGAAGAAAACATCAATAATGACAACAGGCTTGCTCTCATAATAAGAAATGAAAAACTTCATGGGAATAATGAATCTTTGGTAGCAGTGCGAAGTTGGCAGCCAAAAAGCAGAATAACAAATTTTCTGTGTAAAGGACTTTTGGACAAACACCACCAAAACCTCATGCAAACAACCCCCCTCCCCCTTGGTGACAAAAACATGTTTGTATCAACCACTTCAATAAATATTCATCAACTATTGAAAATAAATACATACTGACCTTGATAATCGAATGTGGAACATTCCGGCATAGCACAGCTCTCCAACCAGCATATAGGGAGGATAAACCACCATTTCTGATAATTCCAATCAATACATCCCTGCACGGATATACTCATAAGATTCATAGCAAAATAAAATTAATACAACAGATCTGGCATGGGAAAAATATCCAATGGAAGTTTGAAGTTATGAACTATTGAGCTTACACAGACATAACAAGCATCTCTCAACAGGACATACATATTTGATGTAACGACCCGGCTGGTCACTACACACGGTATAGCACATAGGTTACCTCCAGAGCTAGGAAATTTGAAATACCTTCAAGAACTTCGGCTGGATAGGAATAAGCTAGAAGGACCTCTTCCTGGTGGTGGCAGTTCAAATTTTTCTTCAAAAATGCATGGGATGTGAGTGCAAATTATTTAAATTGAATTAGCGTAGTTTGTTTAGGGATTTATTACCATCATTCATGTGATCTTTTCACATCTGGTTGATAGAACTCTTCTTTCTCTATAATTACAGTACATGCTATAGATTGTAGGCCACTAGGACTCTTTTATAACTGTGGTTGATTACCATGGTGAGATGGGTTAGTCTATAGGCTTCGTTTTGGTCTGCATACAATTAATTGGTAGGGGATTCAAATTACCGTTTTCTTCAAATGTCATTTACCAGTTTCATTAATGTATACTGAAGTTAACAACATATAGTTCCTTCCATTGTCTTTTGTATTCTGCAAAGAAATGATTTTGTGCATGTGACATATACGATATGATAATTTATAATTGCTACAAATGTCAAATTTTCTATGTGTTCATGAAGCAAGGCATTCGGTATATTGAGGTAGTTAAGAAGACTTAACTTGCCGTTGATATTATGAATTTGGTTAAAATTGTTTTATCTAGAAAACATTGTCAAGTGCACCATTAAGTATAAAATACCAAGTTACGCCATTGCAATTTGGATCTTGTTAATCTGACTGGTTTGTTCATATTATGTCTTCAGGTATGCCTCAGGTGTGAATTTAACTGGCTTCTGTCGTTCATCTCAGTTAAAAGTTGCAGATTTTTCATATAACTTTTTTGTTGGTAGCATACCCAAATGTTTGGATTATCTTCCAAGGTACTCTATTAATCTTCTTGTTATGTTGGCATTCTCGTCAACCTCCTTTCTTACAAAACATAATTTCTTTCACGCAGATCAAGCTTTCAAGGAAATTGTCTCCATATCAAAGACATAAAACAGAGAACTTCGGTGCAATGTGGTATGTATGACATGATATTTTTTGCATTTAAAGTTTATGGCATAAATTAAGATCTATCTTCAACTTGTCAAAAATTTGACTAATACAGAAGAGATGAAATGAGCTTAGTCTAGACTTCATTCTGTTGAGAATGGAATAATGGATAATACGAACTTTTGTGAATCAAATAATATGCACTACCAAGTATAATTTTTCGTTGCTTGTTTTACAACTAATAA